TTAATAAGTTTATAACAATTCGTAGAAATCGCGAATGGTTTAAATTTTTTTCTCGAATTCTGCAAATCGTGTGTAATAATGCATTTTCGCTGTTCAGTGCTCACTCGTTCTAGTCTAGACTTATACATTCGATCACCGCCTCGCCGGAATATAACATAAAGCACATACAACATACGTCTACTAAAATATACGTACTCAATAATACATAACATAATAAATTAATATAACACAAATAATATTATTATATTTATCTATCTGCTGACTGACATTAATAACATATTCGCCGAGGGCGTCCGGGAATTGGGCCACAGTTGAACTTTTTTTTTAAGACGAAAATACACGGTAAATTATTTTTTATTTTCCGATTATATTTTTTACACTAATATTTGTGATATAACTTTGTGTCTATAAATCGAACTAAAAGATATGCCGTTGAGTCTTTTCATTTGCATTTCACAAAGAATTTCTTTATGTCACATCCAAATGTTCACATTTTTTTTTTATGTTTTATAGGGAGTTCAATCAGAAGTTTCTATTACAATTAGAAGCTTAGAAACATTAAGAGCCAGGAAACTAACCGTAACTTTAAAAAATTATATTCTTAGCAAAATTAAAAATACGAAGAAGGTAAAAACAAATTTAAATTTATAAAATCTGTATCGTATTATTTAAAAAAATAATTGTATTTTTATATATTAAAAAAAAAAGTAGTTACTCAATAAACGTTATATATTCTATGTGTTAAAAAACATTTATGGCCCAATCTCCGGGTAGTAAAAGGTCGAATTGACAGGTAGCCAATGAGTACCCATGTGGCTGTATTGTCAATACGACCAATATTTTAAATCGAAACTCGATGAAAATTCCGACTGGGGAATGGCAGGGTGTAGGCAATGTGTGTTACACGCACTTAAATACATATTAATACGACGCTCGGCGTATTTAAAATTTAAATAATTTAGGCGCGCGCTCGACATTGATGAACGGATGGCGACTGATGTGCGTGGTCGGCCAGAAGGGGTTAAATCTCGTCGATATATTGATCGCGTTATTTGCGTTGGCAATATTGTTTGCAGGGTCACATTATTTTATCGATCGAGAACAAAATCATCAATCGAATTTCGAGACCGCCAGAATATGTAATCTTTATCCTACACAATATTTTATCAAGATATATATATGTAAATATATATATACAAATAAATGTATTCATCTGTATCACTGAGCTTTTTTTAATCGAGGTGGCCGAACATCAATTTATAGGGACGGTGAACTCAATATATGTGTAATTATAACACAGCATGTCAGTAGTCAATACAGTATTATATAGATCGATTTTCGGACCAAAAAGAATATGAGATAAGGACAAACTGTTAAATAGAAGGACTGTATGGCCGTATGGGTAAACAAAAATAGTTAAGTTCGGTTATACAAAATATGTATGAAAATATGGCTCAATATTTAATTTATGGTAGTATTCAATTTTTTATTTATCAAACTAATCATTCCTGTCTGCCATATTTCAGTTTGGGCATTCTTATATTGAATATGCCTTTATAAACTATTTTTTGTGTTGAATGCAAAACAGCAACATTTAGTGTTATGTACATATATTTGATATTTCATAATTTGTGTATTGCAGCCATAATATTAAATTAAATATTTCCATATTTCAGTATAATATATAACATTCTCAATGACAATAATATATGTATTTTAAGTATTACATCATCTAGTCACATCTTAAAATAAGGCAGTTTTACATAGTTACATAAATACTGTCACTTAAAAATTTTTAAAAAACGCCACAAGTCTATATTTTGGGTTACGTGAATAGGTACTAGGTATACCTATTTCTTTAATTTTTTAAAAGTAATATTATAAAAGGCGTTAGTAGGTACCTATGTACTAATTATTTCAATATTAATTCATAGTGACATTGATTATTTTTAGATAGTGTCTATTAATCCATAGGTGCCAGGTTTTTGAAATATCATGGAGGGCTCAATATTTGGGAGAATGTAAGTTCCCAAAAGAGATGTAGCAGGTAAAAAGTAAGTTCACACACGAAAAAAATTATAACAAATACAAACTTCCTTTCCAATTTATTCAGACTTAACACTGTGAACTCAAACATAGTTGGTGTGGTTAAAATGTGTTTGTTTTTGTGTTGCTAAAAAATCCAATCAATTTTTTAATTGAATCTAGTCAAAATATATAATGAAAATTAATAATATAATGTGTTTATAGGTATAAAATAATAATAGTTATAATAATTATAATAATACCTAGCATTGATTCTAAAATCAATGATTATAGTAGTAGAAAAAATTAAATTTTATTTGGCTAATTGCGAAAGCTCAAACACTTCACATACCTAGTCATACTGTGTAATTATTTTTAAGTTATAATCTGAAATTTTGTTATTTATATAGTTTTGTTTTTCTTCTGTTTTTTTACTTATTTTTGGAGGTCTATTGAAATCTGATGTTCTTATCTTTATATAATATGTATTTGTTTGAAACATAATAAAAACTTCTATTATTTTGAATGTATCCGGATGTTGATGATAAAAATTTGAGTTGAATTCGAAATGGAAACTTTCGCAAGCGTTTGTAGTAAGACTTTTATCAGAACTAGCACTAGCCCAAATACTAAGGGGGAATATACTGGTATCTTCGATAGTTCGATGTAATTTGTCATTGTCACTAAATAATCTCAGAAATCGTTTATTTTTTTGGTTTTTTAGCCATGTAACTATTTATAAAACAATCTTCACATTCTATTGGATTAAGAAATGGTAAACCAAATAAATGTACCAGCCACTTTCCTAATTCATAATTTGCAAAATTAAATTCTTGTGCAAACCCTAAGCTTTGAATTTTACGGTATCAAGCTTGGCCCAAATGGAAACGGTATCCCCATATTTCAGCCGTCGGATATATAATATGTATTGCTCGGTGCATTGATATCTCGAAGTCTAAGACAAATTTATTTGGATTTATTCCAACTTACCTTCGTTTTCATGTTGTGTAAGTTCTCGTCTGATAATTTTTGATGGTTTTTCAACAACGCTGTCTATTGCTTTTCTTTTATAAAATGTACTTATTTTTTGTAGATTTAAAGTAGTTTCTTCCTCATGAGTCATGGGTATGTACAAAACACGTATTTTTATTTTTAACTAATTTTTCACTATCGGTGTAACATTTAGCACGGGACTTATTGTTTACACACATCCACGTACATATATTTGTTGTGGCGGTGTGTTTCTTATACAATTTAAAATTATTATGGACTAAAAGAATTTTTCCCTTTTCAATTAACATGTAAGTAATTTCTACGTCCATTTTTATAAATTGTAATAATAAATGTTTCAATGTTAACTCTGTTAATAATGAACGAGTACTGAATTAAATAAAATGAACTGTCCATAGTTTCATACTATTTCATATTATAGCCTTTAGGTAATAAAGATAAGTATTAAAAGATAGAAAAGGTTTTTTATAGATACTTTCATGGCTGAAAAACCAGAAAATAATAAAATAAACGATTTTTGCAATCTACTATTACATCGAAGATACCGCAATACTTTCCCCCCTAGCACGGTTTTAGGTAGTATCTAAAGCCGTGCCCCCTAGTATTAGTGCTAGTTCTGATAAGTCTTACTATAAACGCTTGCGAAAGTACAAATGATATGTGGGACCACACCTACACATTATATTATTAATTTTGATTATATACTTAGACTAGATTCAAAAAATTGATTGGACTTTACAAAAGACTTTAATTTTATAGAAATAAACCAATCTTAGTGTGGGAACTTACATATGTACCTGTTTATCAGTTATGTCTCGTGTGGGAACTTACTAAACCCCCGATATTTCGGGCCATCGAAGCGACCCGAAGCGGTATTAAGGCAAACCCTCCGTAGTCCGTACTTCGCCAATCCTATAACCATAATAATTTACTCTTGTCCAGTTGTCCTGCAGTAATCAGTGTAAGCTGTATATTATAATATTGTATGAAAGATTAAAATGTTCTATACTGAATCTATCAAATATATTTTTTTTTTTTTTGGTAAATAAATATTTATTTTTTTTTTATTAAATGAATATTTACAATCTGTATACATAAAATAATACAATAAGTAAATTATGAAAGCTTAAACGAAAACGAAAAGAACACGAAGGCTTGAGAGAAGGGGGCGTCAATTGACACCACTTCAAAGGTAAATAAATATATAAAATATTTTAAATGTGTTATTTTATTTTAATTGATTTGAATATAAATCATAATTTAAGCGTTAATAATCACAATGTACCTACTAATATGTTTTGTAACTTAATTCATTAAATATATTTCATTTTTTGTTGACATTTTTTTGGCCTTGTATAGCTTATAAGTTATAATGAAAAAAAATTGATTTAGTCATTTCTAGATATTTTTGTAAACAACTATAACTTAGGTATTTTAGAGTTTTGAAAACAGCAACACTAATCATATACAGTATATAATATGTAATATGTCCATGCTAACCTTAGATCATATACAAAGCCATTCCCATACCGGCCGTATAAACAATTTGAAGCACATATAACCACAGTCTGACATTGATGTTTGATGTGCGCATGCGTGAGGTTAGCCGTCGCATATTTAGTTGTTGATCGTTGATTGATAAATGTGCCGTGCGCATGCGCACATCAAACATGAATGTCGGAGACTCGTCGTTTATATGTGCTTCAATACATCATGGTATGGCTCCATCCATCGTATATGACATATTATATTGTATTATATATATTATTATATCATATTATATAATATATTATATATTATATATTGTCTTATTCTGTGATATTATTAAAGTGGTAACCATCGCTGCCAACTCACAGATATCTGTGTGCCAACTACTAGTTGTTATCTATCTCAGTGCCACACTTATCAGCACGATTATAGATAGTCTATAGATTATCTATAATCGTGCTTATCAGTATTCGGTGTACTGTTATCAAATACCTACTGATTAATTTTGAAATTTATTTACTTATATTTTATTATTATTTATTATTTAGTAATATTTGTATTTATTATATTATCCTTAATCATGATCTGTGGTGCTGACAGCCGTCTACCATTCTATCAATATAGGTACTAGGTAGATTTATACTTATTGTTCAATTTTTGTATCAATAAACACCATATTACCACAGTAAATCACTAAACGCCGAACGGTTCGTTAATGATAATTGCTCTTGCAATAATCTCGTTCTTTCCTTCTAAGTTGTTGGTATCTTCAGGTTTCACGAACAAAATACCGGCTTATGGTGAATGGTGAACACTCGTCACCCACTATTGTAAATATTAAATCATGAACTTAATTTTGAACTGCGCTGCAATTTTTAAAAATGTTTTTAACTGTGATTTTTATTTCCTACCACATTAATAATTAAACTTTCGATTACGGATAATACATATATCACTTGAGTCAGTACAATATCTCTATCAATTTTAAGTTTATGCTATGTTTAACAATTTTAAATGATTAATTTTTAGACTACCCAACTAAAAATGACATCACCGAAAAAAGGAACAGGACGTATTCAGCGCACAAAAGTTACTACTACCATGAGTAAAGGATCTATGTCCCAAGCTATGATGCAGCTCTTGCACTATCAATCATTAAAAGTCACAAATAATTTGAGTAACATCCAAGTCTGTATATTACCTGTGTAGATGTATGTATTGTAATATTAAACAATTTTAAACAAAAAATGCATAGAAGGTGACTCAAAGAAAAATTATGCCAAAAGAAAAAACAGAACACACAGCCTCTGAAACAAGCAATGAACACATGACTGCAGTGATTCATTTGCCATGTCAATCATCAACTATTTCCAATACAAATTATTCAAATGACACTAGAGTCTGTATAAAATCATAAAGGTTATCAAATCCGTGCATCCAATAAAATGTCTAAAAATTTCAAACAATTTCTAGATGGTGAGCCAAGTAGAAATCATGATGTTGCCGGTTAAAGAGACAGATTGTGGGACAGCTACTATTAGCGGAAAATGTACTACAGATAATATGGTTGTCTGCGATGAATCTTTTGGAACTACCACTGTAGCCGTGGATGACAAATATGAAACTTTAGTTGATAGCATTAAAAGCAAAGTCGGTCCATATGTTTGCCAGATTTGTGATAAATATTTTAAATATGTAAGTAGCTTGAATGAACACGAGAAAAGACACAAGCCTATTGGAAACGAAACACAAGCAGGTGTAGTTCGGTCTCATGTGTGTGAAATTTGCGGTCTGGCATTTAAGAAGATATATACCCTAACTGTGCACCTCAGGATGCACACTGGACATAAGCCGTTTGCATGCAAAGTCTGCGGCGATACGTTTACATGTTCAGCCAACCGTTCTGTACATATGAGAACACACACAGGGTATCGGCCTTATGTTTGCAATGTTTGTGGATATGCATTCAACCAATCGCACGTTCTGACTGAACACATGAGGCTTCACACTGGCGAAAGACCCTATGAGTGCGGTCTGTGCAAGTTGGTGTTTGTGTCCAGTGGTTTACTTAGGAAACACACCGTACGTAAACATAACAAACATGCCTAGCTTTAATAAAATTTATAAGTGTATATTTTATTAATACAACAGTTACAAATAAAGAACAGCAAATCTAAAATAAAAATGTTTTCTATATCTATCCATCTATTTCCAAATTCTTCTGTTTATAGATAGCAGTCAATAATAAATTCTGAATTGTCAAAGAATATAGTATATTATAATTACGGCCTAGAGTTCAGACCTCAAGGCAACAATAAACTTTAAATATTAAAATTCTACAATAAAATTTGTGCCATCAGCAATATATGTACATTTTAGTTTTTGCTGTTTACATTATTGATGGAATATCAGATATTACAAGCTGTAAAAATAAATAATTAAAATAATATAAAAATATTATAAATAATTTTAAAATTTTAAGTGATTAGATAAGTAAGTTATAGAATATGCATTCAATATTGCAAAACAAATATGTATTAAAACCTAACTTTAGAAGGATTTTATAACTTCTAAAAAAATGATAGACCATCAGAGTTATCAATTATCCACATCGAAAGATATATTAAGATTGTCCTTAAAAATGAAACTATTTTAAATAAATATGATGAAAATAAATAGGTTCATTGTATTGTATAATTTTTACTAATTATTAAATTAAAATAATTTGTTTCGCATAAAATGTTATAATTGATTTTAATCTATGATAAATTTTATTTAATTATAAAGTTATCAAATGTAACAGATTATTTGGTAAAGATTGGTATGGAAAGCTTCTGTTTTCCCTAAAATAATTTTGGTACTTAAGCCCCCCTTATATTTTTAGGTGATGATTACAGGGTCCGATATTAGAAAAATACTACCAACCTTTGCTGACTTGCTGTGGAAATAATAATGACACAATTAATTTAAAACTTTCATATCAATCAATAAAAAAAGAATACAAATTTTTATTTGACATTATACTTGCTCCGAAAATGGGATGAGTCACAACCAGACGTATACGTCACTGACATTTATAAAACGCCCAAATTAATAATTATGGTACTTAGTACCGAATACCAAACTACCAAAACGCCTCTTAATTTTATTTTTTTTATAATTTTCTAGCTTTTATACCATAGGTCAGGGTGGTCCAAATTGTGACCCTCGAATCCTTTTTTTGCCCCCCCCCCCAAAAAAAAAAAAAGACTGATAAAAAATTTCGAGATAAGATCTCGGAAGTCGGCCTTTTTGCCTCCTAATATTATGGATGCGGGTTTTCCTGAACGGTCTGAATACTATTTACAATCGCGAGCATTCTCTATTTCTCTAAATAAAATAAATTTTTAATAATATCATTTTTCTTCTTTTGAATGCCCCCTTAGTTTTTATAAAAGTATAAATTTGCACACCAACTACAAAAGGTTGAACCACCCTACTTTAGGTTATAAACAGCTGACGATATCTGATCACAGTTTAAAATGACCACATCAAATTAAATCGAAGACCAAAAATAATCAAACGTGGGTGGTAAACTGCATTTGTATTATAAATCATGTATAATAAGTATTATAAAAAGGAAAAAACTATAACATAATAGTATTATTATCAATTAAAATTATAGAACATATTTAAAATTTTAAAAAGCGGACTTTTCAAACGGTTAATGCCATTCATCGTGGAGTTGATCAACGTACTTCTTTGTGTGGTATATGGTAACCACACTGATAAGAAAATTAAGTTGATACAGTATTGATACGTCTTGATAATGATGATTTTGACTTTCGAGACTTAGAGACTTGAGTTGGCCCAAATTTCTTAAAATTTCCTATAGAGTTTAACAGAACACTAGTCAATTTTCTAATAATTATTTATCGTATAAAAACTTCAAAGTTTAATTTTATATTTTTCCCATGTGAAATATCATGTATCTTTGAATTATTTGCTATGTATGATTCTACTTAGTTTGAGTATAGAAATAAAATTGAAGTTACATTTTATTAAGCTAAGTTAACATGGTGAACGCCATTAATCATCATGTGCCTGTTGGCCCCAATAATACGGAAAGCGTAATGCCTCCTCACTATCTACACGAGCTTCCTAATGAAGATGAACTTCGTCTGGCTAAATTATTTGAAACGCTTGACATGGACAAGAACGGTAAAATTGACATACATGATTTGTCTATTGCGTTACATGATAAAGAGTATGCTCAAGTAAGTAAATTATTTTTTTTGAAAATAGAATATTATTAGGGTAACCATATTTAAAAAAAAAATAGGTTAAAAATTTTGGCTTCATTTTAAAGTAATTGAACTCCAAAATTGCTTAATATATTTTAAAGCCAACAACCTATGTTCTTGTTAGGTGAGGTATATTGTTTGAAAGGGTGCTGGTGTAAATTTTCATAATTACTCTGCAATTTTACATGTTTCATTGATGTCTGTATCAATTGTTTGTTTAATTAAAATAATTTGGAGATAATGAGATGAAAATGAGACCAAAAGTGTCTCACTTGAGATTTGTGGGACAAGGGCAGATGATGCTCAAAATAAAGAACAATTCTGTTTTAAATGGGACATATGGTCACCCTAAGTTAATATTGTTATTATAATAAGTAGCTAATTTAATTTAACATTTTATTTTGTTCTATAGAAGTTTTTGGAACTGTCTGATGCTACTAAAAGTGGTTCAATTACATTAGCTGAATTTATACATTATGTTAAAGAACATGAAAAATCATTAAGGCTAAGTTTTTCAAACATTGACAAAAACAAAGATGGTAAGAAGTAATTTAATAAACATTAACTCTTTAAATGTTATGGCAGTTATGATTTATAACTATAATATTTGGCTAACTATGTATTGAAATATAAATAATAATAGTATAATATATTATATTATGAACTCATGTTGTTTATATTATTTAGTATGTATATTTAGTAGATTTTAAAAATACATATTATCATTTTTGAGTAAAGGAGTAGATTGTATTTAATCATTTAATCAGAAATTTGTAAAATAACAGGTATCTGGATATGCATTCTTCTTTTGAATGTGTAAATCAGTTTTTTTATAATGACGTTTACTATACTTGATTATAATTAGTATTTCATGTTCTGTTATTGCATTCAAAGTTTAGTTAATAGGTTTAATTTCATATTTTTTAAAAGTATTTTCTTTTTATAATTTTTAAAATTATTTAGCTTATAACCTATAACAACTAATTGTTATTGTCATTATAATTTTGTTAGAGTCATAATGTGAGGGATAGACATTTGGAATAAATATCCTATGCTCTTTGTTTATACATCATTATAATATAATTATTTTTTATTATGGGATAACTTATTAATATTACATTTGAATTTTTTAACATGTATGATTTTGGTTGATATTCAAATAGAAAATAGTTTTATTAGTATAAAGTTTAGTAGCTATATTATATGTTGACATGTAGTATCATATATAATTTTTATAGAAATTGTCTTATTGGTTCATAATACATTGTTTATTCATACAATTGTTTATAATTATAAGTATACCTAAAATAACTGGTTAGGGTTGTTGCTAAAAAGTACAGCGAAGACTTAAATTTGTAGAGATATTTAATATTTGTTTGTTGTGTTTTCTTGTTACATATAAATTATAAATGGCTTACACTGTTAATTTATTATTTTAAATTACATCAAAAAAAAATTTAAAATATAGTTTGTAATTTATAGATTTTTATTGTTTTTTTTTGTATTAGATATACATTTTTCGGATCTTAAATTTGAAATTGTTATACAAGGTATCTAATTTATTGTTCTTGCTGCAGTTAAAAAATATAAAAATAAATATATTTTTGTAATTTTTTTAAAGATATTTATTGTTCCAATTTTGTCGGAATTCAAAAATAATAATCACAGAGACGTGAAGTATACGCCATTACTTTTACCCTGAAACTCCATTCTCGCTTAGAATCGTTTTTAGTAACAATGATTTACTATTGAATTTAAATTTTGAACTAATAAGATACATTTAAACCCTATAAATACAACAGATCAATTCCCATTTTTTTTTTGTATTTGAGTTTGTTCTAAATGAAAATTATTTAAGAGGATGTCAACTAAATATTTGTTTTCTCTATAAAAATATATCTTATATCGATTTTTTAATAGGTGATTTTACTCTAAGATATTTCAAAACCATCAAAGAAAAAGATTCTGTGTCATAAATACATAAATAAATTTTGTCTATGTTGCGCGTGGGCCAAAGAGAGAAAGCTAACAGTGCTCTGACATCCTCTTAAAGAAGTTCAATAGTTTCAATGAGCACTTTATTCTTTGGTCACATATAGTTTCTTTAATAGCTACTTAAAATAGTCAATTCTTATAATTTTCCATGGTAGTTATGTACAATTGTATAGAAAGCAAACAGTGTAATTTATAACAATTCAATTTTTAAGACAATTTCTAGCTTAAATATTAATACAAAGTCAATTAGGTGTATTTTGTTTTTTATTTTATTTTTATTAACAGTTACATTTAAGAAAACAAATCTTGAAAAGAAATGTTAATTATTAAAATAATAATTTTTTTGTTCCACTTCCAAACTAATGTAGTCTAATGGTATTCAATCGGTAAATTTCAAAAATTCTATAAAATGAAAAGGAATATAAAAACAGTGTCAAAGTCGTGCTAATTCTACGCTATATTTGGATATATTCACTTATAAATTAAAAACACTTGATAAGTTTCAACTGATTGTTGTGCTAAATAAATTTAATTGTTTCATAAAGTGTAACTATTTTATATTTAAAATGATGTTTGGATTTAGCATAAAACACAAAATTGGGTTCAATAATTGGAAGGGAGCTAGCATTTTAAAATAGTAACTAAATAATTATACTAATGGTAACACACTTCAAGACAGTTATAGCACAGCAAATTTATGTTCTGTCAAATTCATTTTTTTTCTTTTAATATAAATTATAAGATGTAAGTGTATAAGATTATAAGGACAAATAAGTGAATTTATTGACTTATTATCAAATTTAAAGGTGACATTATGAAGAACATCTCAAAGGCTTTTATTGTTATTTCATTTTTAATTTAATATCGTGAACATTTTAAAATTAAAATTAAAATTAATCCTAGAGTGATGCTTTAGATAATAATATTGAAACTAACTACATAAAATATATTTTCCTGTACACACATTTGCTATGTTGTAGCACAGGCATACTCAAGCATCCTACAATAAAATATATTGTTTTGTTTGTTTAATATGGTTTTTATCAATATCTGTGTTGTAAAGTACTAAATTGTAATGATGAACGGTAGTTTTCATGCGTGTCTTATAATTTATTTTAATGTAATAGCAAATGATTGTTGCTTACGAAATTACATTACCAGACAATAGAAAATGAGGAAATCTTACTTTCAGTCAATTTATTTACAATTTTAATACTTTTCCTATAGGCAATATTAATATTTGTAAAAGAAATATTGCAATTATTTTCAATCGTTTTTAGAGGTGTTTAAAAGACTTTGGTAAGTTTAGCCGCCCCATTCTCAAATTGCTATTGTGATTAAATACGGGAAGGGAGTAAAAATGAGTGATAACATAATAAGCAGAAATGGATATTGCCCATTAATTTAAAAAAAATATATCTTGTTTTTTTTTTTCATCATTTATATACAAACTCTTGTTGTATGTGCCAAGTCATATCCATATTATGCCCAGAGCCAGATTAAAAGAAACTGGGATAAAATACATGGACCAACTTGGAGACATTTATATGGTTTACTTTTATAGGTCATTAATACATCAAAATTATAATGTATCTATAAATGTAAGGAACCACCAATTTTTTGGAATTTAAACTAATCCAAAGAAATCATTTTTCAATAAGCAGGTATAGTTTAATAGCACATATAGTGAGTGTAATAAATGCTTAGCAGTTAGCATAGTCATTTTATATATTAGCCTGCATGATGCAGTTATTGTTAGTCTTTGTTAAGTACAGGAAAAAGATTGTATATCTTTAAAATAATCAATTTTACCTTATTGTCGAATATCAATTTTATTCATCAATACAACTGATAATAGAAAATATTAGTGTTTTTAAGAGAGGAAAAATATATTTTCAAAATTGTATTTCATATATTTGTTTTATCAAAAAGTTTTTGAAGTATGAGGCCTGTATATTTTTGGGGCAAGTACACACATTGAACTTTCTTAAATCTTGACTTGTCTGATGTGATTATATTATTATCTTCAACAAAAACTTTTAATCAGGTGATCAAAAATAACAATATTTAAATAATAAAGATTGATGTATACAGGAATTAAAAATATTATGTAGTTTAGAAATGAATAATGTATGACCAAAATATTTATTTTGCAAATTTTGAAATTGAAATGAAAAAGATGGGTTTAAAAGTTTATTGTGTATTATTATAATAAATAGCTAGTAAATAGTTTGGTATACATTTATTATATGACATACTTCTATGAATACATAAAGAAAATTACATTTTTCTGTAGGAATCAATGTAACTTCATAAAAAAGGTTTTTATATTTTTTTCATTTTTCTCCTTGATAATTCATCACCTATTTAGAAAATCTCATTAAAAATGTTCACCTTGAATATTTAGAGTGCAGTGGCGTCATTTAAAATTATTTTGTAGAGAAGTCGAACAAATCAAACTGCAATACTAAATACTAATTGCTAATATGGTACTAATACGTGAAAAATATAAAATACTATCGACCCTAGAGGTTTCTTATAAATCACGAATAAATTAAAAACTTGTTATTTTGTTTTTAAAAATGTTTGTTGTGTCAGTTAATACATAGTAGTAGGTAACTAGGTACTACTGTTGGAATGGAAAAAGTTTTAAAAATAAAATTATATGGGATTATAATATTATTGTTATTGTACATGCCCGGCGCCCGCATACTAATCTTTGTAAATATTTACCAATTGCATGTATACTATTAATTGTATCATTTTAGAATGTACCAACAATTTACTATTTCAAAATAATCATAACTCGCTTTAATATTGAAATGTAAAAAAAATCGACTAGATAATGTTCTTACTTCTAAATTTGATAATAGGTCAATTCATTCTAAGACTAAACATAACAGAGTTAATGAATTATTCAGAACGTACAATTTGTTATGTTATGCGTTTGTAAGACTTATACAAGATATGGCGGCGCGCGGCGTCCTCTTTATCAATTATGATTATTGCGTGACAATAATTTAATTTCTTAGTATAGTATCCAAGCAATATTACATTTCCTCAAAATTATAATTACAGACTACAGTTATGTTGTTTTTTCACTAAAAACCAAACTCGGGCCCATTTTTAAAATCAGACGTGAGCAAATACGCCCACTTAACTCCTGTCAAATGACGCCACTAGTGTCATACTCTAATTTAGTTTTTATACTTCCTGGTTGAATTACAAAAAAAAGAATATCGTAAATATAATACATTAATACGTAACAAAGTGTATAATGTGTAATACCTATATATTATGAGAAAAAAAGTAGATATGAATATATGAAGTATAAATGCATTGTACATATTACCTTAAACCGTATTATAAATCACCTAGATTCAATTATGTGTTGAATAAATTATGACAGTAATTACTTATTTAATAGCTTTATCAAAATTGAATTAACTTAATAAACCTATGGGTTTGAATAGTTTAACACAATTTATTAAATAGATGCGTTTAATTATAAATTTATACTTTACACTATTTGAAGCCGGACTCTATATTTATCTGCATTGGCATAATATTGTGTTAAGGTTAAGATTACTTACTATTTATTTAAAAATTAAAAAACAATTGTATCATCGATGTTCAGAAATTAATAGAAACTGATTTAAGTTTACTATCGAATTTTCTATTTACGATAAATTCTCAAAATGTATTACCGATTTATAGCAAAAATGTTTGACATAAAAGAATATAAGTAATAAAATACAAATATGAGGTAGGATGTTCTAGTATTCATATATTTGTCAGTCATTAAGATGATTAATATTATTTGAAATAATAATGTTAAAAGTATTATGTAATGGATAATTTTATCGTTGAATTTCATAGAATATATTTTATCGTAACTGAATATTGTGTCTAAATGAGTATACGGTCATATTATGGCTCAAGGGGCCGAGATGTATGTGCATATGAAGATGAAAGCTTCTAAAAAATCGATTATTGGTTTTTAGTTGACATTGTAACTAAGTTGAAAATTTCAAAGAAGTTTTTAAAAATAATTAATTTTTTTAAGGATAAGTACATTTATATATTTAAAATGTTCTTTTAAAGACGTTTAAGTTCAACGAATATGAAAAACTGGCGATAAGGTTAATATTTCAGTTGGTTGAGTATAGTTTTGTCATATATCTTATTAAGAAATAATATTTATGGGCGTATAATATAATTTAATTTTAAATTATGATTTATTTAATACTGAAGTGGCAATTTAAAATTTAAGATGAAAAAGTACTATTTACACAGTTATCATTCAATATTTAAGTTATTACGAATTTATTTTATGTAAAATTATGATTTTTTATTTGCTTGAATACTAACATTACAAATATAAATAATACATATTATTCCATTAATAGTTTAACCTATATTATTGAATTTCGATTTTTAATTGTACGATAGTCGATAACTTATACGCTTTACACACTTCATTCTGCGCATTGCGGATATTTGAATGTACCAAAGCAAAATGAAAACTGCACTACTTATTAAAATAATTTTGTGTTTCTGAAATGTCATATTTAAATAAACTTGCCCCATTTCCCAAATTATGACAAAAAAGGAAATTCCTTAACCACTTTAAACTTACGATTTATTTTTAAGTATTAACAATATATTTTCTTTAGGGAAAATTGATCGATACGAGCTTATAAGAGCCTTTCAAGAATTAGGAATTGAAATTGACGACGCCGAAGCTATAAAACTTCTTAAAAGGTAATTAATTCAGGGTTGATGTTTTAAAATAAATGAAGCTAGCTTATGTTTTTTTTTTTTATACATTAGGATGGATAAAGACGGTAGTTTAGAAATTAGCTTTGAAGAGTGGAGAGATTTTTTACTTTACTGCCCCTTTACAGACTTACACGACTTAATCAAATATTGGAGGCATTCAACAGTAAGTATGGATTCTTGATAAACATTTTTAAGTGATTGCAATTTATTATTGATCCAAATGATTCATTTTATGCGTAATCAATATTTGAAAAGTAATAAAAACTTAAAATTGAGAAATACTATATATTCTTAACGTCGCGAATGTTATGTACCTAGTTCGATAATTATACGCTTGTATCACGTGTGTGACTGCCCCCGCCAATTGACATTCAGCAGCGTTCTGTTTTAGACCTGTGCAAAGAATTATTTTAGTAGACTGGCTATGTGATGTAGTGAATTTTATTCGCGTTTCTATAACTATTATTATATATATTTTTTTTTATAAGAACTTTAACTATGGATACACATAATTTTAAAATATTAAAATACTCACTTGACCAAGACGAAATTGGTGGTTTATGTAATATTGATTATGAAGAGAATTGTCCCTCGTGCTGTGATATCTATAAATCGTATTTAGAACTTTATAAACATATGGTTTCAACCAAAGTAAGTACTTGAAAAAACGTTTCCTAAAAAAACATATATTAAGATATTAAATTAAGGGTACTTATATAACATTTTGATTAATTTTTTTCTAGTCAAAAAGTAATGTAATTATAGTGAACTTAAAATATAAAACTAAATAACTTTTTTATTACCAACTTAAATAGTTATTTTATTTTTATTTTTATGGGACATCAATATAGTATAGTTAGGTTTATTAATTATGTCATTGAAATAATTTTTTACTAAAAAAAAAATACATAATTAAAAATATTTTTCGTAATAATTTTATAAATTTATCTTATTTACGCACATAATTTTAAATACAAATGTTGTAATGCATTGTTAATAGCTTTATAGTTAAATAGTTTCTTGGGACTTTGGTCTACTGTTTAAATATGTAATTTTATCAAGAACTCTTCCTTGTTTATTTAATTGCGTTCAATCTTATCAGCTGTAATAGATAAATGAATACATCGTATTATTACCTACTTTTTAGCTTAATAATTTTCATGATTAAGTATATTACTATATTTTAATACTTAAAATTATGAATAATTATCTATTATAACGTTTTGCTAATCCTTTTGTTTGAACATTTTATATTTTTTTTTTAAATTGTAAATTTTTTTTTGTTTTTATATTCAGAAAAAATAAATATCCTGTCGATATTTTGAAAAAAAATAATGATTTCAATTAGTTTTGTAAATAAATACTGGGAACGGATTAATTAGAAATTTAAACAAGATTTTAATATATTGCTAATAATGTACTATGCACTTGGCAGGTATCTGTAGGTTGAGCTCACTTAATCCAAGGTCAAAACCGTTTTTTTGTTTGACACTATTAATAAAATATAATTAACAAATAACTAATCTTCCTGAGTAGTTTGGGAAAATTCCAATTTGAAATAATCCTTACTGGATTTTTGTAAAAAAGTCTATATTACATATTTATTTAATATTTGTGTAATATATTGTTATTTATTATTTATTATTATTCACTTCTAATAAAACAAACTTAAACCTAATTATAATTCAATAACATAATAATATTAGTTAATTTGTTGAAGTATAAATAATAAAATAAAATAAAATAATTCTTTTCAAAAGTCAAATATTTGAATACAGTTTTGTATTATACCTACTCTATTTATATTATATTGTCTTTTACGGGACCATACCTCCTATGTAAAAAATGTGTAGTCTTCAGAAAACACAAAAAACATTTTAAATAAAAATAATACATAAGAGTTATTTCATAAACAATTTATACTTGGTAACACATTGGAGGATTTTTCTACAACGAGATAGCAGTTAGGAGGTATTTCATAAATTATTTATTGTAGGTAACAAAAGGTAACACATAGGAAAAATTGTTTACTATTTATCATTAATTCTACAATTTAGATAGAACATAGTAGATTTTATCAATAAATAGCTTATTTTTTTCTGAGTCCAGGTATAACAAAATCTCAAAATCATACATTTATCACATAGGAGGTTTATTTCCATTAACAGATTTTGTTTATTCTGAAGAAAGTCAATTCTTTGTAAATACTACAAAACATCAAATATTAATGGTGACATTGTAATATTAGTTTATAGACATTGGGGAAGACATGAATGTGCCAGATGATTTCACCCAAGCTGAGATGATAACAGGGATGTGGTGGCGGCATCTTGTATCTGGTGGTGTAGCTGGCGCTGTCTCAAGAACTTTTACTGCACCTTTGGATAGACTTAAAGTATTTTTACAAGTAAGACAATGTTTTGATGTTTTGACAACTCATTTAATTGATATTAAAATCTATAGTTTAATCCAAATTGCTGTGTATTATTAGATGTATATCTTACAATTTTAATTTCAAACAAAATAATACATCTCCAATTCACTTGTATTCAAATAGATATTAATTAATATTTTATATTGAGAATCTTTGAAATTATGATTATGATTATTGTTACTTAACTATAAAAATAGCTTAAAATGTGTCTTAGGTATACGGCAATCAACATAGTAATATAACAACTTGTTTCAAAAGCATGTTAAAAGAAGGAGGAAAACGAGGCATGTGGCGTGGAAATGGTATTAATGTACTCAAAATAGCTCCAGAGTCTGCGTTTAAATTTATGGCTTATGAACAAGCTAAACGCCTTATACGAGGTTCGAGAACTAAAGACTTAACAATACTTGAAAGATTTATGGCGGGATCACTTGCAGGAGGTTTTAGTCAATCATTAATTTATCCCTTAGAAGTATGTTACTTTTGTTTTTATAATTAGAATTATATTTATGTTTTTTTCTTCTTTTTAGGTTTTAAAAACAAGATTAGCCATAAGGAAAAGTAATCAATACAAGGGTATATTTGATTGTATCCAAAAAATGTATTACCGTGAAGGTATGCGCAGTTTTTACAGAGGTTATGTACCCAACCTTTTAGGTATACTTCCATACGCTGGAATTGACCTTGCAGTTTATGAGGTAATTATCTTTAAGTTTAAAAGGTGATCAATCTAAGTGTTAATACTCATTATTTTTTTGAAAAGTTAAAATTTTTTTTAATCTTTATATTTTGTCTTTTTTTATTTCATATTATGCTAAGCAGACTTTTATGGTAGAGTGGAAGATATGTCTTATTAGCTTGGTTCTTGGCTTGGTTTTAGATATTCAGCAAGCTTCTCGTTTCTCAAATTCTTCGTAAAACTTTTTTATTCATTATGTATTCTGTGTATTCGAACTCCTAGGCATCCATTGATAACACCATCTCTTAAAAGCTAGAAGTTATTTCTTCCTTCGTACTAGTATTTCCTCACTTTTATCTCAATAAAGTAACAAGTATAATAATTGTAAAAATAATAGAAGAATTTAAAGTTGATAAGCAGAGTAGTGTCAGTAGACCAACTTTTTTGGGGACCTCTGTGAAACTCTACTTCACTTGTCTAAACTTTAAATAATTATAATTATTTAACCACTCATTCAATACTTGTTATTGATGCATAAAAAACTTTAAAAATAATAACGATATAAAATTTTTTTTTTAAAAGTTTTGTTGGCGAATAATTATGTTCAAACAATAAAACTCTTAAAACAATGAGTATTTATATTTAAAATAAAATATATTTGAAATGTATTTCATATAAAAAAAATAACTGAAAATTAGTAATTACATATTTCATTATTTTATCAATCATGTTCTGTATTATTTTGTAGACATTAAAAAATAACTATATCGCTTCACATAACAATGGTGAGAAACCTGGAATGCCTTTATTATTGGCGTGTGGTACTGTTTCTAGTACTTGTGGCCAGGTGTGTTCGTACCCTTTAGCTCTTGTCCGTACACGTCTCCAGGCACCTCGTAAGTTATTACATTTATATTCTTTATCATTTTATCAATAATTGATCTATTATTGTTTCAGATTTAGAAGGTCCTGATACAAGGACAATGATGTCAGTATTTAGAGAAATTTGGGTAAAAGAAGGTATGGTTGGCTTGTATAGAGGCATAACTCCAAATTTTATGAAAGTAGCACCTGCTGTTAGTATAAGTTATGTCGTTTATGAACGATGCCGTGAAGCACTAGGGGTCACTATGTCGTAACATACGTTTTTTGAACTTCTTCATATTTATTTATCTCTTGACATTCAATATTTTTCATTCATGTTTTTAAAATATTGTCTTTAATTTTACAAACATTTATTGGTGTTTGAATTTAGGGAAGTATGTCTTGAAGAAAAGTGATCTGAAAGGGTAGAAATTATACGTTACAGTCATGGTTACCATAAGGATAAAAAAAATATTAAGTTTGATTATTAACTATGTTGAGAATATGTCGAATGCTAACATAAGTAATATTTATATTATAATTATTAATAATTATCCTAATATGTAATTATGTATTATCACAATGCTTGTTTGTAAAATACATCTTGATATTGTTACCAATCAAATTTAGGCTCAACATAATTTAATAGATTCTTGTAAACTTTTTTTGATTTCTTTGTCTCTAACACAAATGCTTTTTCTACCTACATTCCAGATGCAACATAATTTTTCCAAAATAAATAAAATAGGTTCTTTTGTAAAATCCAATTAAAGAGATAAAGTATTGTCTTCACATTTTTTGACTTGCCTGCTATATATTTAGAATTGGTCATCATATTAAAAGAATATTCTCAAGGTAAATAAATATATTGTAATTTTTAACCTAATCTTCTTTATCAACAATTTAACTGATTTTAACTCTACCCCTTAAAAATTGCAATATTTTTATCTTATTTTTTTTTTTTCAAAAAAATTGTTTAAGTTTGTTCCTAGTCATGCGTGACACTTTTGTTTTGTAAAATATTGTTGTTTGTAAAACTTTTTTGTTCTCTTTGTTCAAAAATAAATGTTTTTCAATTTTGTAAACAAGATTTATCTTATTGGTTTTTTTTATGAATAATTTTTGCCCTCCATTTTGATGATATTTAAATTGTGTACATATTTTTTAGCTAACTCAATAATACATATGGTGCTCAAATTAAATTAGTTTATTAACCAAGTATTGAGCAATGTGTCAAAAAAAAAAAAATGTTTGCTGTATATACATGTTTAAGCATATTTTTACTAATAATTTTTTTTTGTGCTGTTGAAATTGAAGCATTTAAAATATTTCACTTTTAATTATGTGAAAATTATTTATCATCTTAGTCAAAAATTAAAATGTAATTTACACTATACATAATATATGTATATATCATTCCATTATCATATAAATTTATAATAATTATGAAGACGTTTTTAAACAATTATTTTAAGTGTTATACAAATTATAGTTTATTTATTATCTATCTATTTCATAGATTACTTAATCATTATTTTTAATACTTATATTCATATAAAAACTACTAGGATCTACTAGGCATAAGCTCTATTTTAATTTATATCTATAATAAATTTATAAATTAAGGTTTTCTTTATATTTTAGTTGATAAAAAAAATTACTTAACATATAATATGACAACATAATATCACAGAATATTCTGTGATATCATGTTACAAATATGTATAGATAAGACTGATTATGGTTTATATATTATTAAAGATTAATGTTTGCTAAAATTAGAATTATTATCACAAATATTTTCATTTATTTGCAAAATATTGTATATTATGCTAAAATATTACCCACCCCTGAATGTTGACATCTGTTAAATATAATTATATACAATTCAATATTCATTCATACTATAGTCTATATGAACAAATCTTAAATGCTGTATCAATCAGTATATTTTGCTCTATCCTCTTTGGTTTTAACTTTTAATATTTGTCTGGTGGTCTATGTAAGTCTTAGTATGATTTCTTATACTCAACTTATAACTATAAAAGAAAACTGCTTTATAAGTTAATTAAGATGATTAGATTTACTTGTTTTATAACATTTAAGGTGAATATTTATAAAATAAAAAATTATATACAATGGCTTTAAAATCTCACTATAAACATTTTTATAAATTAATAATCATGATTTCTTTTTTACAATATAAATTTAAAACTAAGCATATAGACATGTTAGAATTTTTCAATAAATATTTCGATTGCAATTATCTTATACTTGTGTTTACTTTTTGTAAATCCATAGGTGGAACTATCTGTATTGGGATATACTATTAAACACTCAACATCTGTACAAATATATTTGAAATCGAAAAAATATTTATATTACTTTTTATTTAATTTAACTAATACCCAGTCATATAATGAACAAAATATAAATTGTTTAACAATTACATGTGTTGAGTTAATATTTCATTTAAACAATCAATTATACTGAAGGTACACGGTGTATCTTTAAAAAATACCGGTTGACAGTATGCATCGACCGTTGTCATTAAATAAATCCAACAATAATAGTATCTAATTAGTATTGCAAAGGTTGGCATATACTTCTAAAATACGCTCAGAAAAAATTGTATATTAATACATTTTTAACATTTTCTTCATAATATGAATTGTTATAAAAAGTACTCTAGGTACTATACATTTAAAAAATCTAAAATATTCCTTTATAATGTATGAAATCCTAAAATATGCAAAATAGCATTTAATATGTTATTATAAAATATTATTAAACTTAATAGAAATATATTGTGTAAATACACAAAAGTATTATATTTTGAATTAGTTAATATAACTTATGGAACCTATGAAATAAATCTCCTAAAACTATATTATAGTTAGAATTATCCCCTTATACTGAAGTATAGCTCTGCTCATGTGAAGTTAAGACATCAGTGGAACAAACTATTAGGTTAAAATTTTGGTTGGTAACTCCATCTACTTTATTTTGCACTCGGCAATCATTATAATTATAAAAACTAGTTTTGGGATCAGTTTTTTTTTTTTTTTAATCGAAATAATTGCTAATTCCCAAGATGAACTGGACGTGTTAATTTACAATAACCTTACTAATTATATAAAAAAGGTTAAAAGTAAAAAGAAAAATCATGAAAAGCCTTTTACTTCAGATAAAAAATATTTGATAGTTATATCTTATAAATTATTTACTTCTTGATGGATTTTTTTCACACACAACATAAAATAAATACAAATAGAGTATGAATTTTATCAGGATAAAATTTATCAGACACCAAAATTTAAAAAATAAATAGTTTCCATTCTTAACCAATACCTTGTTAAAAATAACATAAATAATTTACAAAGACGTTTCTTCTTGTAATAGCTTGGCTGCAGCTTCATCTAATAACCATTGTACACTACCATTTACTGGCTGTACACAATTGGCGGGTAATTGTTCACCATCCTTAAGAATGCGCTAAAATATAATAAAAAATAATACAATATAATAATCCTTTTATTTTATGTAATGTACATTCCAAATTGTACCTTCAAAATATCAGCTTTTGAGCTCCCGGTTGCTATAAATGCACAGTATCTGGCATTATTGAGAATTGGAAATGTAAAAGTAATTCTGTTTGGTGGAGGCTTTGGTGAATCAGAAATTGGAGCCACCCATACTGATGTTTCTTCACATAATTTGTGTCCAGGGAACAAAGAACATGTATGTCCATCAGGACCAACACCCAATATTAATGCGTCAAACCGAGGCAAATCGTAGGGTGCAAAATATACGGATATCTTTTGGATGTAATCTTTAGCTGCCTCATCAACTGCAATGCAAAATCCAATAATTTATTCATACATATAATTAATCAACACATGCAGAACATGCACTTGGTGTTTACCGGGAAGTTGGGGGTTTATTTTAATAAATTGATCTTCACTGATAGGAAGGTTGCTGATAAATTTGTCTCTATACTGAGCAAATGTAGACTCTGGATCATTAAAATCCACCAGTCTCTCATCACAAAAAAAAAATCTCCACTTTGACCAATCTGTTTCAACTTTAGCCAAATATTCGGATAACAGCGACACGACCGATCCACCTTAAAACATTTATAGTGCAATCTCATGCATTTTCCGTAAAGTTAAAATAATACATAAATCGTTATACCAGAAAGTCCAATTTTAAAAACAGCATTTCCTCCTTCACCCAGTACATCATTGGCTAGTTCCGAGAGATTTTTGGCCAATTCTGCACCCAGCTTTTGTGTATTTTCGTACACCGAAATTACTTTTGAAGCCATTTTTGAGTAGGTACTTTGGATCCAAAACCACCAAGACGTGAAATTCAGACAATGAAGGTTACAGCGTTGTATTAAGTGTTAAGGTGATAATAATATACCTACTATTGGCTACCTATTACCTAATGTCCTAATTGAGCATTATTTAATAGGAAATGGAATTATTAGTATACTAATTTAATATTATTATTAGGTATTATAAAAATAAAATGTTACATTAATGATCACTGATAAGTAATCACTATCATGTGTTACAATATGACGGATTAAGAATGCCATGAAGACTATTACTATAGTCTATAGCTGATGAAGAGGACCAAACTCCAATCCTGAAAACATCCCGAAACGAGTCGTACGGTTTAACGGCCACAGGTTGCGCTGCAGTCGCAGTAATCGCTACTCTAACACGCGTAGTATAGAGATTTTTTTACTTTTTTACATATTTTCGGAAATTATATGCATTATTTTGAACCATGACCAACTATGAATTTTATAGCTTGTAAAATCCACACTCATTTAAGCGCATATTATGTGAATATTTCAGAAACATTCAACAATCTTAAGAAACAAATTTTAGTGAAACGATACATTTCGGTATAAAATGATCATTCATACTTTCACAAACACAAATCACAATATGTGTACCTACCTAGCCAGTGGCGGCTATCCTATAATCAAGGTATATCATCCTTCGTCACACCTTATAATTAGGCCATGGACCATGGTGGGTAATGATCCCAACTGAATAAGAAAAATGAGTGGCTACTATAGTCGTGTCCCGCGGTAAAAATTTCTTCGGAATTGCGACCCAAAATTTAAAATTAAATTAACTGAAATAAATAAATTAAAATTAAAAAAGCTTCATTAACCTTCACATTTTTATACACACTTAGGACTGTCTGTAGCATACGTAGATACTTTACTGCATGTAGGTTAAAAAAAAATGATGTTTTGTTTTTATCTAAAAATATTGACACTGGTAAAAAGGCACATGATATTTCTTAAGGTTAAAAATATTTATATAAAAGTATTCGTATAAATTCAAGTGTGTCAATTTGGTTTTCTTCTAACCGTTTTATAGCATTTCTAATAATTTTTTTTTTTTTTGATTAGGTATATTTGTTCTGCGAATATTTAAGTGAGTGCTTCTTAATTTTTGTATAGGTATCCTTTTGTATATTTCTCAGATCATCGAAAAGAACACAAAAATATTAGGGTGAGCACTGTAGAACAAAGTGTTGAATTTCGAATGAAAAGCCTCACAACTATTATAGTAGTGGGCATAGTAGACGCTGAATATTCTGTCCAAAAAAAAAAAGGGAAGTTGGACTTGTTTAAAATGTATGTTTCCAATATTTAATCAACAAATATTTCTACTTTTTAATTTCTTGGTCGAATAGCCATTAAGTAATCTGTAAAACAGTTATAATGTCGAATGAAATTTTGAGTGAAAAAAAAAGGTTAAAAGCCCTGGCCGTAAACGCGTCTGTACCTAAAATTAACTCGGGCTGTCATTCGGATAAGACCTTTTGTCGTATATAAAAAAAATAGATATCTTTGGGACGCAACTAGTATGCAGCCAGAAAAATATATATTTATTTAATAGGCAATACACCAACCGGCGGGGCAGTTATCCAATATAAACTATCTTATACTGCAGTCTGCATTCATAATGGAAGAGGCAAGTAGTAAATAATAAGTAGGTACCCAATATTAAACAAGTTTAGTGCATTGACATTAGAAAAGAAATAATAGGTAGTAAAACTGTAAATATATTAGATGTAGAAATCATTACATTTTCAATGTTTCTATAGACAGAGCATCATTATACTATAATGTTATTACTATGATAAATGGATTTTATGAGTAATTAGAAATTCTAGATAAGGAACAACAATGATACAAAATAGACTAGAAGACTTTCTGATAATAAGTTGTGAGAGAGGAATAGATTTATTAATTCATTTTATCATCATTATTAAGAGCTAACCATTTTTTTAGTTACATGAAAATATAGTAAAATATTTTAAAAAAATCTTAATCTATTTTAGATTCTAAGCGGAGCGATTAATGTAAATTCATTTTTTTCTAAACAAATACATTTGAAAAGTCATTGTGTGTAATGTGTATAAAATATAATAATATAGGTACCTACCTTATAAGTTTCAAGTACCCACGAATAATATTTTCATTTACAACAAAATAACATAAATCATTATTCTTGGTCATTTAATGTTACTTCGTCCTGTTTGAACGTAAAAAAACTGTGTTTATAGATTTTTGAATTTTTTGATTACAGAAAAACCGTGAAAAAAAAAACTATCGTGGGCCTCAGCTATATAAATTGAATAGGTACTTTAAACATTTTAAATTATACAATTACCTATTTGTAAATTTTAATGATATGAATTTTGTCAAAATTTGAATTTTAAATGCTTATAAGAAAATGTATCTTTGTATTTTTATAATTTTTCAACTGATATTGTAAATATATATCAGGAACCTTGTATTACATTTTCAAGTTTTAAGACAGTGTGAAAATTTTTTTATCGACATAAATTTAAAAAAGACCAATAATAATCGAAAATTGCTTATGCCTATTAATAGTTTAACACGTGTCAAAATATTTTGAAAATTTTATGGTGTACATAGAAAACGCTGATATAAACTTTCAGTGAAAATTACATGTATCTACGATATTTCTTTTTAGAATTAGGTAAATCAAAAACCAAATCGATTTTATTGAAAACCGGGTTTCCGTAAAAATTAACATATGTCCTTAATTTTTTGTTTGTTTTTCTTGCCACTTTTGAAAACTTTTGGGAATTTTTTGCTTTTGACCACAAAAAGTATGAACTAGATTAAGGTTGTATTAGAAGAGATGCTGTTGAAGAAAATTAATGCATTTATCGTCCTTAAACGTGATGACGGAAACAAAAAAAATAAAAAGTACATCATAGTAAAATCAATGCATTCATCTCTCCCTCAGAATTTAAAAGTTTGCCGAAAAGTCAATTACATATTTTACGAGTTTTCAAAATAAGTAAGACATAGGAAATTCACCCACAAATTAACAAATTCTCATTCAACAATTTTCTTATTTTGTTGTTTTCAAAAACTTTCAACCCAAGGGGGTTGAAATATAATCATCAAATGTCATTTTATCATTTTCTATACGTAATAAAAATATTTCGACCAAACTATTTATAGACATTTTAAATTTATTTTGTATAAATGTCTATACAAATGTATTCGTTTGGTCAAAAAGCTTGAAAATTGAGTTATGACTAATAATGTCTCATCATTTATACGTTTATTAGCGAACTGTCTATTCATTTTTAAATCAGGTGATATGTTCATAACTTCATACTACATACCCCATCACCACCCTTTGGCGTGTATCATAAATATATGAATCTATTATTCTTGGAAAATTCAATTGATTGTACGCCTATCTTTATGGAAGAGCAAAAGTGTTTCTGGCCTCACCGTTCTACAGTTACACGCAACGCTGTCTGCTGAAATTACGTCTTAGAAACCTGCAGTATTCTCTCTCAAGTCGATGTAATATACATTGACTTTGCAAAAGCATTCCACCTCGTTGACACAGATCTTATACTAGTATATGGTGGACTAATCGTCTTAGTCAGTGTTTTGCGGAAAATCGGTTGTGAAGAGCTACTTTTTTTGTGGTTCACTCATAATAGGAACCAATGGGTTAAAATCCATAAGATTACCCACGATATATCTTCTAAGACCATGGTTTTATCTCTGAAACGACTACAGCTACTTCAGGTATTCTACAAGGTGGCCATTTATCACCTTTGCTGTTCTCCATTTTTGTTTATAGTGCAAGTCGCTTATTGCAACATGCCAATCTTCTGGTTTTTGCAGACTAAATAATATTATAAAACATAATAAAATCATCAACTATAGTTTATAAATAATATAGCACTAAAGTAGATAGTAGTTGTAAAAAATAATCTACAGTTCCGCAAAACTTATGTCCAACTTGCATTTGGTTCCGATAAAAAAGGCTGATTTAACTTAAAAAGTCGTTAGGCTATTTAGAACATATTATGGAATAATGTTTTTATACACGTCACTCAAATCTATTTTAAATAAATGATTGTAGGTTATGTCAAGATTTGAGCCTAATAAAAAAATGTGTCAATAAAGGGCATGTTCATTAAATAAAAAAAGATCCATCCCTTTCTCTATCTAGAATCTAGATGATTTAATGTACTATTTACTTTATGGCTGGTAAGTTTACCTAACCTGATAGTTTTTGCTCTATGTGTTTTTTAAAAACCAAAACTACACCCCTAATGGTCTTACAAAATAAAATACAAATAATGAATACTGAAAATATATTTTCATTCTTTCAAAACAAGCTTCATACATAAATAATAGTAATAAATTATTGATATTAACTATCAGTCTTGGTATAAATTGTACTCATTAGTCAGCTTATTATTCATCTTAAAATTGAATATCCTGTAATTGATAAATCCTTTTTTGAGGATGTAGTAGAATTTCTAAAAAAGTAAAAATAAACAAAGTTGGTATTTTTGAAAATAACATTTCAAAATTGTATATAGTACAACCTGTGAATATCTTTGATAAATTCTAGTAATTTCATAAAACCAATTAATAAATCTTCTGTGCCATCTCCATTTGATTGTTGAGATCTGATGTCAAATGATGTTATCCTCTTATCTTCAACATCTTTACTTATTGTTCGATAGAGAAGCAAACTCTAAAAAAATATATTTTTGTCATAACTAAATGAGAACATTAAAAATTAACTATTCAATTAATAACTATAAGTTAGATTGATATGTTTAATACATTTTTCCGAGAAAAAATTATTACACTAGTATGTTCTTTGATATAAGTCAAGTATTCAACATAGATGAATAAATGTAAATGTTTATAATTTATTAATTATTTATCTATTTTTATTCAATGTTTATTTTAAAAATGAAGACTCTTTAAAAGACAATAATAATTAGGTACAAGTTACCATGTTTTTTGCAACCTCGGCAATTTCACATAATTGTTGGTTGTTATCACTGTTTTGTGAAACTTTCATTAAAAGTTGACTGGTGAATGTGTATACACATAGCTCTAAGGCATCATTTAAACTGGCTAAATCTACATCTAACACATATCTTTCATTGAGTGCTGATATCAACGAAGTGGAAACAGCTCCATGCTAAATTATTATCAAAATATTATTTATGTTAAATTCTAAATAACTATTGTAAAACAAAAAAATAATATAGCTCACTCTAGTTATTT